ACGGCGAGCAGGAGGGGGGAAAAGAAATCTTAAAAGCCCTGGGAAAGACAGTGTGGGCAATTCTTTAGATTCGACTGTAACGTTTCTCACGTCCCTACAATGCAGATTTTCCCCTGTGCCAATTTTCACGTCGCTTTTCCAGGCGCGCAGGGGACGGGACACGGGTGCAGCGGGACACCCGGCACCGTCCCGCAGGAGACGGGGGTTCTTCGCCTTCCCCGCGCACCTTCTTGATTCACTCGTGCCTCAAGTTAAGATGCGGCCGGGACCGCAGCGGGGAGGGAGCAGGAAACGGGAGATGTTTTCCCAAGCGCACAAGCAGCCGTGCAGTTTGCAGCAGCCCCGGCCCCCAGGGCTGTGCCTTGCACAGGGGCCTTGCACGAGGCCAAGCTGCTCGTGCAAGGGTCTGCCTCGCGCGCTGCACAGGGGCCACACGAGGCCATGCTCATGGCCGTAGGCTTTGCTCCAGCCCGACACGCTGCACAAGGGCAGTGCACGAGGCCATATGAGCTGCACAAAGCCTGGCGTGTGCCTTGCACGAGGCTGTGCTGCTTGCACGAGGCCTTGCTCCTGACTTACCTGCTGCTCGAGGCTGTACTCCTGCGGCACAGCTTGCACCAGGGTGTTGCATGAGGCAGCACTCCCACCACAGCCTCGCACCCTGCACAAGCCTACTGCATGTGGCTGCGCTCCTGCCTCCCACGTTGCGCGTGGGTGTGGCACGTGGGTGCTTGCATGAGGATGTTGCACACAGGCATTGCACATGGCTGTTTGCAGGGGGACTGCACGCAGGTGTTGCATGAGGGCGCTGCCCAACGGCAGTATGCACAGGTGTTGCACAAGCACGTTGCACAAGGGCAGCGCGCACAGGTGTTGAATGTTGGTGCTGCACGACGATTGTTGCGCTTGCACAAAGATCTGCACCGGGACGCTGAGCACGGGCGCTGCACAAGGATTTGCACCAGGATTCTGAGCACGGGCGCTGCACGAGGGCGCCGCACGAGGACGTTGCGCCTGGGCGCGCATGCGCGGGGCGGGGGGAGGGG